AACATGTGGAAACATTTTATATTCGTCTCCGAATGGTTCAGTATTACTGAATCGTTCAAAGAAAAACTAATGCTCTGGCTCTAAACAAGAACAATGAATTTCCCCAGAACATTTCCCATGGATGGAATAGGCAGTGTCATAATGTTCCAGAACTGCTCAGCTAAGAATTCATGAGGTCTTGGAAGAAAGAAAAAGACGTGCTGAAAGAAAGGTACATTTCTTTAAAAATTACCGGGTCATATGTGCACTATTGATGTTGTTTTAAACAATTTTATTTCACTCAGACTTGGCTACCCAGTTCTTCCATGGTGCCAATAGCTTTGAACGCGGTTTCGACTGGGCTTTCTTAGTAGGCTAAAGTGACCTGCGTGCCAAAACCCAATGCTAATGAAGGCTCTCTTGCCTCTCTCCACACATAGCATGCAGGCTTCCTTGCTTGCCTTCAGGCAGTCAGCAGGATAAATTGGTTTGGCCTCTTTAAAAAGACCTTTTAAAAGCTTTCGAAATGGTTTTTGGCTTGTTCCATAGCTATAAAATCACAGAACCCCAAGAAGGATAAAGTACAGTTAAGTCGAAAGCTAGTACGAAGGTACTTGGGGCAGTTTGGGATGGAGATACATGCTGTTTTTTGTTTTAAAAAAAGATCGCTGACAATTGGCTGTTATGTGACTTATAATTCAGAAAGATTTTGGGAAATGTTCGGTCCCTTCCAGCAAATGAACTGAAGGAAGATAAAGAAACTTCACTAAGCCGAAACTGCTATAAGTTTCCACAAACATTTTCATAGCATTTTTTGTTTTTTGTTTTGTTTAAACATTGACAATATTTTTTTGCATTCTTTGGGACACTATTTTCACTTACCTTTTCTTCTTCTGTAGCTGACTTTGCTTACCCTTGCTGATGCCATCATATAACCAAATATGATTTGCTACATTGAGCCACGATATCATCCTCTTCAGTATGTGATCACTGATTGTTTGAAGACACCCACATGACTAATCCATCATAACGGAAGAAATTAGAAGCAACTAAAGGAAGCAACAAAAAGAGACGCAGGTGGTGCTGTGGTCTAAACCACTGAGCCTTGGGCTTGCTGATCAAAAGGTTGGCGGTTCAAATCCCCGTGATGGGGTGAGCTCCCGTTGCTCGGTCCCAGCTCCTGCCAACCTAGCAGTTTGAAAGCATATAAAAATGCAAGTAGATAAATAGGTACCACTCCGGTGGGAAGGTAAATGGTGTTTCTGTGTGCTGCTCTGGTTTCGCCAGAAGCGGCTTAGTCATGCTGGCCACATGACCCAGAAAAACTGTCTGCGGACAAACACCGGCTCCCTCGGCCAGTAAAGCGAGATGAACGCTGCAACCCCAGAGTTGTCTGTGACTGGACTTAATTGTCAGGGGTCCTTTGCCTTTACTTTTTAAGTGACCAATTGCATCGCAGACAACTCGGTTCTACTCCCCCAATAAATCCTGCCTGTCCCCCCCCTCCCAAAAAATAAATCCTGGCTAGGCCCATATGCATGGCTGAAGTGGGTCAACAACTGCTTAAAGGTAGGAGTTGGTCAGTGCAAAGAAGCTCTTAGCTTGTGTCCACTCAAAGATTCAGGTGACTTCCTCTCTGTGCTTTTAGGTAACAGACAACAACCAGACTACTGGTAATTAGGTTCATTTAACAAGGTGTTTCAGGGAATAGCTGTGTGGCGGTTTGTTACTTCTCCTTAAGTCAAGGATGACGTTTGCTACAGTGTTGGGGGGGGGGAGTGTAGTATGTTCTAAACATTAAAGTGGAATAACTCAGGATGCTCAGACATTCTTGCTGGAGGAGTTAACCACTACATTATTTATATGACCTGAATATATTCTGCCTGTTAAAGCACATCTGCCCCTTCAAGGTGATGTACAACATATCATAAGGTACGACAGTAATAACAACAACATTATTAATAGCAACAACAAAGTTAATGATAAAACATAAATAAATAAATAATAAAAATGAAACCACTCCCCCTTTAAACTGAGCAACAGAAGGTAAAACATAGAATCAAAGAATTGTACAGTTGGAAGGCATCCCTGAGGTCATCTAGTCCAACCCCCTGCAATGCAGGAATCTCAACTAAAGTATCCAAGACAAATGGCCACCCAACCTCTGTTTAAAAACTTCCAGGGAAGGAGAGTCCACCACCACTTGTGGGAAACTGAAAAAGAGTATTCTTGGCTTTGAGAATGGGTTGGGGTTTTTTTGCATCTACTGTGCTACAATCTATAGCACACCAGCATCAGAGATACTGTAGTTTTTCAATTCACTTTTGGGTCAGGTTAATACACAAAGTACCTTGAAGACTGTGTGATCTCTTATGCCTCAATTCAATTGCTAAGATCCTCTGATGGGTCTCCATGGAACTCATACTCTATCACGGCCTCTGCTCTGTGCCTTTTTCCAAGCACCTTTGCCTGACTGGAAGATGTCCTTGGACACTCTTGCTTTCCTGGATTGGGGATGGAGAGATGTGTGCAGGTATATATGTGCAGAGAACTCTCTGGTTTTTGCATGGTGGAAATATAAGCCACTGGACAAAAGTAAGAATCACAGTGGGCCTTGCCTCCATTGGCACGTTGCACCCAGGAGGTGACCTCTCAGGGGGTGCTACCCTTGGAATGGAATGAAAGCAGCTCAAGTTTTAAAAAATAAATCAGAAAGAAATGGCAAAATGTTTAATTAGATAGGAAGAGAGATCATAAGAAGAAAGAAATGTTCATCGCCATCTGGGTTTAGGGGGCCTGTGAGGGTCAAAGGGTGCAGCCTCTGCTTGGTCAAGATGTCTTGCTATACCGTTGGCTTGCTGCCCATCATCTTTTTACATTGCTTGTCTTTGGGTTGGGAGTTGGAAGGCTGTGTCGCTAATATGGTCCCTGCAGCAACATAATTTCCAAGGAGTGTTTGCTTTAGGAGGTTAAAAGCCTTATAAACAGATTTACATTCTCTAATAATGGAATGCAGATGCAGAAGGGGAGAATTTGATGGTTAGTTAGCACAGCAAAATAGGCTGCTCACTCACTTTGAAACCTGACGCTTGATTAAAACAAAACTGAATGTTTAAGGAAAGACGCTCAAGTGTTAGATGCAGCCTGCAGCGCTTTGCCGAAGTGCCTACAAGCTGTTCCTCATCAAGCTGTTGGATCTGATCGACCCAGGGCTTTTGCAAACAGACCTCGGGAACAACAGGAAAGCGGTTTGCCCTGGCCAAGGCTTGAGAAAGCTGGTTTTGAAAGTCAGGGAGGGTGAGGATAGGGAAACATGGCAGCTCTCATGACTGATCCTAATGACAAATATTTCAGTTCATATCAGTTTCATGAACCCTGGGATTTTCACTGATCTGAAATTGCCACTCACACAATAGCATCAGTTGAGGTATTGCCCTCTATTGGGAAGGTTTTTTTTTAATGTTTGATGTTTTATTATGTTTTTACTGTACAGTGGTACCTCGGGTTAAGTACTTAATTCATTCCGGAGGTCCGTTCTTAACCTGAAATTGTTCTTAACCTGAAGCACCACTTTAGCTAATGGGGCCTCCTGCTGCTGCCGCGCTGCCGGAGCACGATTTCTGTTCTCATCCTGAAGCAAAGTTCTTAACCTGAAGCACTATTTCTGGGTTAGCGGAGTCTGTAACCTGAAGCGTGTGTAACCTGAAGCGTATGTAACCCAAGGCACCACTGTATATATGTTGGAAGCTGCCCAGAGTGACTGGGGCAACACAGTCAGATGGGAGGGGTATAAATTATTACTGTTACTATTGCTGTTGAATAGGATGTCCCTATTTTCATCGGAGAAATGTTGGAGGGGATGCATTATCGGGACGGCACCACATTGGTTACCCCCGCAGTGAAATGGTGATGCCTAGTTTGCAATCCTATATGTTGAAGTGTTTTGCTTTGGTTTAAATGGTTTCAACAGTGGAGCATGTCTTTTGGGCTTGCTCAAGATCACTGCGAGAATTCTGAGCATGCAGCAAGGCATTTGAAGGTTAGCTCAAATGTTGTTCCCCTGACTTGCATTGGGTTTGCTCCCTTTGCCATGGCAGGGAATTCACAACATGAAACCACTCATGGAAGTGGAGCGCTTTGAGAGTTGGCTCCTCTGTGCAACACACAGGCCTTGTGTGTCTATATTTTGCTTGCTTCTGCTGGTCTGTTGTTTGGCAACTGGTATTTTTCCATGAGCAGGGGAAATATTAAATGTATTTACTTATGATCAGGCAGGGTGTTCCTCTTGGTTTACCATCTCCAAAGTAAACCCAAATGAAACAGGTTGGACCCTAATCTGAATCTGCACCTCCTTTATTTAGCTGGCACTTCACTTATCTAGATTAGAGGCAGAAGATGTCATCTAACGAACAGGTAAATACTAGTCCAACCCTTCCATCTGGAAAAGACCAGGGCTGAAGGGGTATATTTATGGACTGGCTGCATAATTCTTTGGGCTTCTTTTTGTAATCTGTAAATTGCTTTCCAAGCCTTCACAGTGGGTCACCAAAACCCAAGGATGAACAAGCCAACAAATCCTGTTTGTACCAACCTAGCAAGGAAAACAACTTCTTGCCAGCTGCTGGAAATGAATTCCAGACTTTCTTTGGAGGGGGAAGGCACAGAATAGTGTGCATTAAATCATTCTGGGTAGGCACTTTTTGGGCCATTTCACAAGGCAAGCAAAAATGCAATTTTTTTTTTCAGGGAGGAAGGGTTTATTTGAACCTGTGGAAATTATTGAAGCATTATGTAATGCGGAAAACTGACATTTTAAATCTGAATTATATTCCCTGGTATCAATCTAATTAAAGTATTTAATTAGAGTGGTGTGATGGGGATAATTTTTTTCTGCTTTTGGAAGCAGGCTGTGGTGTAAAGACAGACATTTTTATTCTTTATTTTATTTTGCTGAGTTTTCCTTTGGGGTTGTAGCCTTTGGAGAGGGGTGGAGGGGGAGAGGTTGCATGAAAATGTTAAAAGTGTTTTCATCCAGGGTGTTCTCTCTCTCTCTCTCTCTCTCTCTCTCTGTGTGTGTGTGTGTGTGTGAGAGAGAGAGAGAGAGAGAGAGAGAGCTCAGTGGAATGGAGTACAAGCCCCTCTTTGTTTGCTGCCCATGGCAGCCATTTTGTGCTGGTGCCCACAGCACTATATGAATACTGGCACCTCATTACCCCCTGTCAGGACCCCCCCCCCAGTATTATCATCTAAACACAAGAAACTTCATTTAAAAGTTTAAGCATCTCTTGTGGATGTTCTCATTGAAGCTGTTTTTGTTAAGGTTGTTTATCTTTTGACAAACAACATTTCACTGGAGATGTAATCATGATAATGCCTCTTTGATGCATATGTCCATGCAATGTCTGACGTGTACAAAATTTTGGAGGAAAGTATAAGTACTACTTTGGAGAGAAATTCAACATTCTCGGTTGATAATATTTTTCTGTGTATAAGATGACCCCATGTATAAGATGACCCCTATTTTTTTAAAACCAAAAGTAAGACTTTGCCATATCTCTAGAAGTGAAAATCCAGATGATTGGTGGTGGCGGAAACTTTTGGAGCATTCGTCCTCAAAGTTGTTGAGCTTTGCTCCGCCCACTTTTCCCTCTGGCCTCATTCACTTACTCACCATAAGGCCCTTGGGCTGAAAAACAGCCTCTGGACCAATAGGATGTTAGGTGCTGTAGCCTAAAACCTCTGGAGGGCAGCTTTACTGGTTGCATCCCTATTTTATTTGAAAACACTCTATCCATGAGAATAGACACAAGGGAGACTATAGACTCAGCAGTAAGCCAGTGAAGCGTAGCTGTGAAACTGAAGACAAAGTGTACTAAGAGGTAGCTAGAAGTTACTATTACGTCCTCCCTGAAGCTTGCAGTTTGGGGAAATGTTAATATTCATTAGATGTCATTAACTGGTAGCCATGGGCCAAATCCAGCTCTTTGGGTGATGCCATCTGGCCTCTTAATCACCAGCTCAGAGCGAAGGGCACAGAGGAGGAGCAGCATCTGTGAGAGTGGAAACTGTGAGGCTGCCATTTTGGGGGTTTGGAAAGGGGGCCACCTTCTCCACTTGCTTGTCAAAGTGGCCCTCTGGCAAAATTAGCTGCCAGAATGGATGGTAGCCAACACATTTCTGGGCTGGCTTCACCTTTTGGCTCCAAAGCCAGCAGCTCATTAGCTGTTAAACACTTGCACATGCCTGCGCTTTTGGCACTTGCTCTTTCCGGACATGGCACACCAGCCAAACGTCCCATTATCTATACTAGGCAGTTTGTGTTTGAAAATAAAATAAAATTAACAAGCTTGTGGTCAACTAAGACCCCTGGATCCTTTTCACATGCTGTCAAGCTAGGTGTCCCCACCCCATCTTGTATCTGTGGATCTGATTATTCCCATCTAAGTGTAAAACCTTACATTTCTCCCTACTGAAATTCATTTTGTTAGTTTTAGCCCAGTTCTCCAATCTGTTGAGGTCACCTGATTCTATCTTCTAAGGTATTAGCCACTCCTCCCTGTTTAGCATCATCTGCAAAATCTATTCCTTTGTCCAAGTCATTTATAAAAATGTTGAACAGCACCAGGCCCAGGACAGAACCCTGCGGCACCCCACTTGCCACTTTTTTCCAGGAACACAAGGAACCATTGGTGAGCACTCTTTGGGTTTAGTCAGTGGACAGCTCAATGAAGATGTTGCCCCAATGTGTAGCTTCTGTGAAAAAGGAAAATTCACTGCTTGGGATTATTAAGGTATTGAAAATAAAACTGCCAATATAATAACGCCATTATTCAAATCCATGCTGTTACTGCATTTGGAATACAATAAGCAGTTCTGGCCGCCTTGCCTCAAAAAGGATATAGTGCATAGCTGTCAATGTTTCCCTTTTTTAAAAGGGAAATTCCCTTATTCCGAATAGGATTCCTTGCAAGAAAAGGGAAAAGTTGACAGCTATGATATAGTGGGTTGGAAAATGTTTAGAAAAGGACAAACAAGTGATCGATGGGATGGAGCAACTCTCCTGTGAGGAAAGGTTGCAGCATTTGGGACTCTTTAGTTGCAAAGAAAAGGCAAGCGAGAGCAGATTGTGTATAAGATTATGCAGGAGATGGAGAGTAGACAGAGAAGGGTTTCCCTCTCTCCCTAAAACTCAGGAACATCCAATGCAGCTGAATGCTGGAGGATTCAGAGCAGAGAAAAGAAAGTACAGTGCTTAGTGAAACTATGATATTTTCTCCCACAGGAGGCAGTGATGGCCACCAACTTGAATGGCTTTAAAAGAGGCTTAGATATATCCAGGGAGGTCAAGGCAATCAAAGAGGTGAAGCCTACCAGTCACAATGGCTCTGCTCTATCTCGATGGGCATTAGGCCTCTGCATACCAGCTGCTGGAAATCTCAGGAGGAGAGAGGGCTCTTGTTCTAGGGCCTTGATGGCAGGCTTCCCCTAGGCGTCTGGTTCATCACTGTGAGAACATGATGCTAGACTAAATGGGCTGCTGGCTCTTCTTATGAGCTGGCCCAATTCCTTATGTTGCGTACTTAGTTCTAATGCTATAAAGTAGAATTGGTGCTGAAATCAGTGATGGATTTCTCATTGACTCCAAATGCCCAGGGCTGGGAGTAAATGAGGACACAGTGGCTACCTTTACTACCACTTTTCCTCCAGAAGCATGGTCCCTGAATCATTGCTTTGTGAAACACTGCCGAATTACCGCCAGTCAGAATAGTGCTATATAAAACTCAATTCCATTTTGTTCATCTCTTGTAGCTATTCTCATTCAGAAAGGCCAAAAGCAATGCAAGAATATATATTGTTTCTGGGATGGTGATAATAGGTAGCTTGTACCACTTTTGACATGTAACTTGGAAAGCACATTCTAAAACCCTCTTGGTTTATTAAGCATATCATCTGTCTCAATTGCTCCATAAACGTATCACATGCAAAGATGTAATGAATATAATAATAACCTTTATCAACATTTCGTTTTGAAGCTCCATTTACCTGAAATGGGCTGCTTCCAATAAATATTTCACAACATATTTCTCCCTCCCAATTGCATTTACGACTTGCGAGGCAAACAGGAACATTTTAATTCTGACAAAATGGGTGTCTTTCATGAACCGGCTTTTATACTGTGCCTCATTTTGTGACTAAATGGCTTTCTGATTATCATGTCCCGGGGTATCACTTCCAGTGCCACGCTATGAAATGTCGTTAAGAAGTAATGTTCCTCTGCTTTGACAATCATATTAGTAAACACTGGAGACTTGGTCGGTTCTATGGCACGCGTCCTGGTGCTAATGGCTTTATTAACATATACAATAGCACTTTGTTGACACTTCTCATTAATTTAAATTTTCAGATATCAGAGCAGAAAAAGAAACCTATAGGTTCGCTAGGGAACAAAGTGGCAGCAGCCAAGAAATGGGGACCGTAACCCTTGTAATGGGTGAGACAAATGTTCTGCCTCTCTAGCCCAGTTCCTTGCCCAGTGTGAACATGACACTAGATGGGCTGGAAAGTGGACTATGAAAAGGAAAATTGCATTCGTGAAAGGATCAATCACCTGTCACTTATTCCTGTCTCTTGGCAATCAGAGATATGAGCACTCCTGCTTCCTGAGCATGAGGCTTTATCCCCCAACCACTCTGGATGACCCTGACAGCCACAGTCCACCTCCACCTTGTATGAACACACCCAGGTATATGGAAGTAATTGTGACTGTGGATTTAATAGCCTTGGTGTGTGTGTGCATGTGTGTGTCTGTTTAGGCTGTCATTCATGTAACTTCAGTTGTAAAGTGCACAATTAACAATTCACTTCTCTTTCCACCCCTACCTGCAACCTGTCATCATTCCAAGCTTTCAGTTAATCAACCCAGCTATTAAGATCTTTGCCTTTAAAACCATCACCCAAATGGTCTACGGGGCTGAGATATGGGGAATTGGTGTTAAATCTGAAATAGAGGTCCCACAAAATAAATTTATGAGGCAGATTTTGGGGCTTCCCTGCAGGACACCGGCAGTCTAACTTGGAGCTGAGTTGGGCCTTCCCTCGCTAGCGGCCAGAATTGATCTAGCCTATATGAGATACTGGCGCAGGCCAAATACCTTCAAGGAGCATAGTCTGTGCCCACTAATATGCTTGAAAATTAAAACAAAGAAAGGATCAGGGCTGCACTTGGCACAAAACAGAAGATGACACCCACTGCCATCACCCTGCCACATGTACTCTCAGTGGGCTAGGCATATAAAAAGCCTCTTTTGTGCTATTGTGTCCTTTGGTTAAGACAAAGTGGTCTAAAGTACAGTGGTACCTCGGGTTACAGATGCTTCAGGTTACAGATTCCGCTAACCCAGAAATAGTACCTCGGGTTAAGAACTTTGCTTCAGGATGAGAACAGAAATTGTGCGGTGGCAGCGGGAGGCCCCATTAGCTAAAGTGATATCTCAGGTTAAGAACAGTTTCAGGTTAAGAACGGACCTCCGGAACAAATTAAGCTCTTAACCCGAGGTACCACTGTAGTTCAGAAGATCAACAAGATTTATAAATTGTATTTCAGGATTTATAAACTGCTCTATATTTTGTAAATGCCCGTATGGTATGCAAAAACAGAATATAAAGCATAAAGAAGATCATAAAACAGTATTAAAACATGAAAAGCAGCAATTAAAAATGGCAAAAATAAAATAAACTAATCTGAGAAAGCTTGGGAGAAAAATTTCCAGCAAATGTCAAAAACAACAGTGTTGGAGCATGCTTCACTTCCAGTGGCTGTGTGCACACCAAACACTGAAAGCACATTGAAAGCACACAACTTCCCCCCCAAATCCTGGGAAATGTAGCTTGCTCATCACAGAGCTGTGATTTTCAGCACCCTTGGACAAACTACTTGTTCTCAGGGAAGTCGTGTGCTTCCAGTGTGCTTTAAATGATGTGTCTGAAGCCAAAGAGAATTCCAAGAGCTGGTGCCACAAGGCTAGGAGCACGTGCATGAGTCATAGCATGCTTTGCCGCAGGGACGTGTGGCACTGATGCTCTCCAGCAGCAGCTCGTTCTAGTCTGGATGGAGAGAAGCTGATTCC